ATAACAAATTTACTATTATAATGAATGAGTTGAGTGATTTGGGAGAAAAATACACAACACATCAAAAGATAAAATTTTTTCTGAGAAGCCTACCAAAGATATGGAGATCAAAGATCATAACAATCCGGGAAGCAAAAGATTTGAAGATGTTCCATATGGATGAGTTGATTAGATTACTCAAAGTGAATGAGCAAGAGTTGCAAGAAGAACTCTAGCCTAGAGGCAAAACTGTAGCTTTATAAGCTAGTCAAAAATTTAAAGGCATTAAAGCCTGTAGAAGAATCATAATCAGATGAGTCTAAGGAAAATAACTTAGAAGATGACGAGTTAGCCTTGCTTACTAGAAGAGTGCGAAGGTTTCTTAGAAGGAGAAAAATAATGAAAAGATTTCCTTCAGAAAGGATTCACTAGTTGGAGAGACATTCAAAAGTCAAGTTAAGTGTTATGTATGCAACAATATGGGACACTATAAATCAAAATGTCCACAACTTAAGAAATATGACAAAAAAAAAGGGAAAGAAGAAAGTCATGATGGTCAGCTAGGATGACTCATAAGGTTCTTTTTCTAATGAAGAAGAAGAAGAAGAATAAACAACAAACTTATCTGTAATGGTAGATTCAAACAAAGAATAGGTATGTAAATTTGAACTTGGGTTATTTGAAAATGATAGGGATTTAGTATTTGCCTTTGATAATCTTCTAAATGATTAAAATCTACTAGCTCAAAAGTGTCTTTTTAAAAGAGTAACTTTTAATTGCTCATAAGAAAAATGAGAAGCTCTTTTTAGACAATGAAATTTTGAACAAAAGAAATCTCTATCTAAGACATATTGACTTTAATATGTATGAAAAATTAAAAAAGATCACCAAAGAAATGAAATATTTAGAAAATGAAAATAGATTTCCTCAAAAACAAAGTTGAAACCCTAACTAATGATCTATCAAATTTTGTAAATGGAAAAAAAAAATCTTAACAAATTAATTGGCAATCAAAGAAATTTCTAAGAAAGAACAAACTTTGGTTTTAGAGAAAGTCAAAGAAAAGTTACAAACAACTAGCATGAGATTAGAAAAGCCAAAAAAATAAGTCAAATGGAATATAATATAAGGGTATAATTGACTTTTAAGAAATAAACATTAAATGAGTGTATTCCTTTAATATATTGCTATATAAGGATGACAAAACGAGTCAGTTCATCTTGTTGCCAAAAAAAAAATTGAACTAGGTTGGCTTGCCAAGTAAAAATAGGTTACACGCCTTGACCCATTTCACCTAAGGGTGAGTTAGTGGGCCGATAGGTCAACCCACCAAGAAAATTTATAAAAAAGAGGAAAAAATTAATATTTATTTTGCTACCTCTTTCAATACATTTATTTCTCAATATTCAAATGACTCACATAAATTAGTGTACCCAAATAATACAATAAATATTAAATTATAATAGATTTTATTTAATTCATTATACAATAAATATCAAATTTGCTACATAATAAAATAGATAGGTAATTCCTCTAAAAAAATAGATATGTAATTATAATAATAATAATTCTTCAACAAATTTGTTGCACAAAAAATCTTAAATTACATATAATAAAATAAATTAAGTGCATAACATATTTGTTTTGCAAAAAATCACAAATACTCACATAATAATCTAATGTGACTTATTTAAACTTAACATAAAAAATATATATAAAAAAATAGGCGAGCTAACAAGTCAATTTGCCTTGGTCAATCCTTTGACCTAGTGGGTTATGCAGGACAGGTCAGGCAAGCTAAAATACCTAACCCAACTTGCCAATTTTTGATGGGCTAGTGAACTAGATTCCGTTTTACTATCCCTATTATTATATATGATAAAAATATATATAGAGTCTTTTTACAAATATATGGAATAATTTTTTTGCAAACATATGTGGATTTTCCCACAATATATGTGACATCTTTATTTTATATAAACTAATAACAAGCATTTTCCTTTGTTAATTAACCTAAAGTTTAACCTTTAACAACTTTACCCTTGAGTATGTTACAATTATCCAAGTTTTTCAGTTTTTTAATTTTTCAAATATTATTTTTAAATGATAAATTTAATGATGTGATACAAACTAATCCAATTATAGTCAAAATTGGTTCAATTTGGATTGTATAAAAAAATAAATAAACCTAATTCCATTAAATTCAATTGGAACAAATAAAAATATAGTACAAATCAAATTGAGTTGTGTTTGGCTTTAATTTTTACGGATTCTTTTAACTCCTTATTTAATTCAAATTTTTATTTATTATATTTATTAATGAATTAAAATGTAATATTTTTAAATAAATTATGAATAATTAAAAATAATCTTGTACTGTAATATAAAACCTCTCGATCCTTATATATTAAATGTAAATGAATATCTTGCAAGAATATTTTTAGGACTATTCTTTGACAAATATTTTTAGAGATTATTTTAATTTTTTATCTAACTCATTTTTATTTATTTATCATATTTATTTATGAATTAAAATTTTATATTTTAACATAAATTATTAATAATTAAAAATAAACTTGTAATACAATATAAATTATTTATACAATATTTTAGCAAAATAATTAAAAATAGTATTATAATGCAATAAATCTTGTAATGCAAAATATTTTTGTTTTCAAATTTTAATTTTTGATTGAGTTGATGATTTAAAATATTCTTGTTTAGATTTTATTCTCTGTAGTCTATACTCTATAGCTATAACAATATATAAAAATTATATTATGATTTGATGTGCACAATATTTTATATTATTTTATTTTTAAAATTACTTCCAAATCATTCTATCTCATTCTCCTTTTTTTTTTTTACTATCTTTTTAATTAATTAATTTTTTATATTTCCTTAAATCTTCAACTAATATTTTTTTTTTAAATAATAGACTCTCTCTCACTAGTCACTGACCTATTTATAAAGACATTTTTATTTTTATTTTCATGTACACAATATTTTTTTTTAAATTTCAACCGTGAAGCAAAGAAAATCAGTGAAATAAATAAATAATAACTACTTATCAATAAGATGGACGAGCTTCTAATTTAGAAAATATTTTACATAAGCTATATTATATTTATCTTGATGAACTTGACAGTCTAAAGATAACATATTACACAATAATAATTAATAAAAGTTTTAAAAAATTATTCTTAAAAAATTGTGACCAAATGAAAATATTTATATATTATTTCACTAATATATATGAATTCAAATATTGACACGATATTTATTTATTTATATTTATTATTCATTATTATCCTATTTTAAATTTAATGTAGGATTTATTACACGATAATATTTTTTTTAATTTCTCAAGAAGTTAGTAAATATTATTTAGTGTGAAATTTTTTCATATAAATTTCTCATAAAACTATTTTCATGGTAGATGAAGACATTTAACTTATCTAAATCAATTAATATCTTATCATATATAATACACATGTTAAAAGTTTATATAACTAAAAATTATAATAAATTATACATAAATAATATTATATTCAAATATATAAATTATATTTAAATTTTTTTATAAAATATTGAAATTTAATTCATA